TGTCAACACTGAGGAAAGCAGCCTTGAAGTCCCAGCACCAGATTTGGTCCAAGGCAAGGGAGACTCTTGGCCTAGGAAAGAACTCCATGACTTCAATGATGACATCTCACGGCCAAGCACGATTTCTCAAGACAGAGGCTGCTGAGGCTTCTGTCCTGGGTAAGCAGCTCCACACCCCATTTCCAATCTGGCAAAAATCTCACAGTAGAAGAAGTTCAGCTCCAAGAACACACCTGAGTCTGATTCTTTGCCAGCCCTGGTGGTGCCAGGGTGACCATGCTTCCGGGAGACATGGGACACATTGATGTCTTCTCGCAAACACTGTGGAGTGGACACATATCAGATGTGTACAATCTTAAAAAACACGATGTTATTCTGACTTTCTAAAAGCTTCTTTAGTAGGGTTTTTGTGCAAATGCACAAACACCTGAGAAAAATGTCGCACCAAAGTTATCCTGCTATATCAGGTAGGTCCAGACCCTGAGACCAAATCTTTCTCATGTGTCCACAGCTAAGGTCTTCTAGAAGCCTGAGAGTAGGTCCAATATCACTTCTTATGCTGAATTTTTCTTTCTATCCCAGCGCACCAGCTCTCACTGGGCAGAATCTATGACTGATTTATCTTGGCAGAGTGTCGTCCGTAACAGTTGATCGACACCTATCTCTTGTGGAAATGTGGCTAAAAAGGGTGCCAGACACCTGCATTTTCTGAAGTGATTTGGAAATCTTCACAAGGCACAGTTGCTTTTGGAAGAGTAGAAGTTGGCCCATATATATCAGCATGTGAGCTTTCTGTGTCCTTTTATCCTGTGCACACGCGAGCTGTCAAGGAGTCTTTTCTGGACGAAGCCAGCAGAACCTGATTCAGGTGAGAGTGATCCTTGTGTGGGAACCTCACCTGTGTCCACCTGATGCCATGTCAGCCGTGTGAGGGTTAGGAAAGCACGCTCGGGGACGTGTCTGTGGTCACGGCGGTGTGACCTTGGGTACTGTGTGTGACTCCTGGCCCCTTGCTCTCTGGCCTGGTTCTCTGGCTCTGCTTCCGGGTTCCATGAGCTGAGCATCTGCCCTTGTTCTCACCCTTCTGCCGTGATGCTTCTGTGGTGTGGACGGCCAAGCCTGGATTCAACCTTCTCCTAAAAGCACAAGCTTAAAGCTTCTCCTGTAAGCTGTTTTCCCAGCTACACTCACAGGCAGCACATGTGGCCCCAAAAGCTCACAGAGTATAATCCTGAATGCTCCACCATATTCGCCATGAAAAACATTGCTTTCGCTGCTATGTGCACAGCACTCTGCTGCGTCAGTATTCCAAGTCCAATTTTCATGGTTTTGCCCCGAAAGCCAGTCAGGCTGCCTCCAGAGGATGTGTTTCTGTACAGGTGATGAAGCATGGGCAGCAAGCTGCACTCTGGTTGGCTAAAGGAGAAATGGATTCCGTGAGCGTGGGGCTCCGTGTCTCAGCCGTGGCAAAGCTGACTGGCACGATCACCATCGGATGAGGGACAAAACGTGGATGTAAAAGACAACACGGCTTCTTCAGTGTGGCCCGTGTGAGGGAGCGGGACAGGAAGCATCCGCGTGGCTCTCTGGCCCAGCAGGGGCAGGGCGGGTAAGGAGCCCTGGACGCCAGGCGGCGCCCCAGCAGTCCTGGGGACAAGGCAGTGCCCACTTCCTTGTCAGTCCTCCCTGGCTTCGGAGCGAAGGCCTCCAGGCTGGCCCACGGCTGCAAGTCCCGCGCACACTTGTCCTCGCCGTCTTCCCGTGAGCCGGCGGTGCTGGGACCGCTTATGCTCCAGCTGAACGATGTCAGGAAGCTGTCACGGGGACCCGGAGAGCAAATACTGCCTTCCTGCGTCCCTGAGGATAGGCCTGTCCCTCAGCAGGCTCGTGCGCTTTGAAAAGACACCCGCTGCCAGGTTTGACTGCCTTGCTCCTAATGTACCTCACCCGGTCCCTGATGCACCGGCGGGGTTCCCATCACGGCCCCCGCCTTTCCTCCCCTCGGTCTCGCGCCTGCTCGTTCCTTGCCTTCCTCCGTCGTGACAACGACCACCCGTCCTCAGGGCTCTGCAGCGCTCCAGCGTTCCACGTCACTGTCAAAATCATGCAACTCACTGTCTGAAATGAATGTACAGACCTCTCACTCCTTTTATATTCATCGGCACCAATTATTGTGTGAACTAAAGATTATTCGGAGAAGACACAGGCTCCATATGTTACCCATTCATATGAACTTCGGAGGGTAACATATGACAATCCTGTCAGCTTTACTTTTCAAATCCACATGTTTTTAACTGACATGCAACTTTACAAAAACAAACACCTAGCCGGGTGTGGCGGCGCACACCTGTAATCCCAGCACTCCGGAGGCTGAGGCAGGAGGATCGCCGTGAGTTCGAGACCAGCTTGGGCTACATAGTGAGTTCTAGGTCAGTCTCAACTACATAGTGAGACCCTGTCTCAAAAACCGAAACCAAACAAAAAAACACCTGTGACGAAACCAATGTGATTAGAAGAGTTGTTCAAATTATTAGAACTATTCTGAGACAGGGTCTGCCTCTTGCCCCACAGGCCACGATATTGGGCACAAGCAATGCTCCCGGCTCAGGCGGTTGCCCCAACCCAAGGGTGGATTACTTTAAATGGCGGTTGTGAAGCCCAGGTCCTTCAATTCAGTGGGTTTGAAAAGTCACTAAGCCCAATGAAGCAGGACCAGTGGGTCTGTCCCTCGGGGTGGGGAGACAATGCACCAGTCTGGCCCCTTGATGATGCCGGGACAGTTACATGGGAGACGGTGCTGTTTGCAGTTTCTGGCAGGAGGAGGAAGACAGAGCGGAAGTGTGGGAGGAAAGTGGGAACAGGAAGAAAAGGAGAGCGCACCAGCCAGAGAAAGCGATCACAGCACAAGCTCATGCAGGCGCGGCTCATTTTACATCCAGTCTCCGACAGATCCTTGTCCCCCGAAGCCCCTGTCGCTACTGCACCCCCAGAATTCTTAGGTCCAAAGTCACTGCCTTCTTGGGGAGAGAGGGGAAATCACTACCCTCACCTAAGAATGCCTGTGTGGCAGGAGAAAACTCTTCCAGAAATTCCCCCGTCCCACTTAAGTGCCCGCTCACGTGTGGGACACCCGTGTGGGTGATGCCCAGCGTCACACATGTGGGTGATGACAGGAGCAGGAAGCTGTGGGCATTGCAGGGGGCACCAGTCTCCAACCCACTGGCGAGGTCGGTGCTGGAAACTAAGAGTCCGCCCACCTGGCACACGGGCACAGGGGGAAGTGTTTGGCCACACACATCAGGGCGTGTGGAACGGAGCAGGCAGAGCAGGGGCGGGGAGAAGCCCAGGAGAGCCAGTCAGCGGGTGGCACTGGGCTTTGGCTGTGCTTCCACATGGGTCCTGGTGCTGCGACTAGGAGGATCCGAATTGCCGAAGAACGACACGTTCCCGACAGCCAGCTCTCCTCCCCCTCCTCCCCCTCCTCCTCCTCCGCCCCCCCCCTCCTC